ATCCAGTTGAGGCCTCCCCAAATTCCTGACCCACAGAATCATGACAAAAATAAAATGGTTGCTTTAAGACTCTTAATTTTGAGGTAGCTTGCTGGATACCAATAGATAACCAGAACAGTGCTCAAAAATGTTTATTAAATAAGTAAGTGATTCCTTTTGCTGTCGTGCTCTAATGGTGTCCCTGCTATTCAAGAGCTCTCAATGGCTCCCTATTGTTTGAGAAATAACATTTAGTACCCATAGTTGGCATTCAAAATCCTCCTAATTTGACTTTAGCCTGCTTTTCAGACTTTATCGCTTGCTGTCCTCAGCCTGGATCATCCTATGTTACAGTTGATTTGAGCCATTTTCCAAACACACAAATACTTTCCCAGAACTATGCCTTTACTTATATATTCCGCTTGATCCATCCAAATGCTCTTTTCTTCTCCATCCACACTTCAGTGGGTTGACGTTGAACTTGTTCTTTGCAATTTTAGTCAAACACCTATCTCTGGCTGTGCAGTCCAGAAGTCAGTCCTCTTTTCTCTGGCTCAGATTTGTTTGATGGTTCAAATCCTCTTTCTCAGTTACCATGTTCATTTCTAACTTCCTTTATTGCACTGTAATCTCCTTGGGGGGGGGGTGGGAAGGTACTGATACATAACAGAGTTTACAAAAATGGTTTTTGGGTTTTTTTGACAGTGCTGGGGATTGAACCCAGGGCCTTCCTCATGCTAGGCAAGCGTTCTGCCACCTGAACTACTGCTCCAGCCTTTTTTTTTTTTTTTTTTTAAACAGGGTCTTGCCACTATCTTTGCCCAGGGTAGCCTCAAACTTGCCATCCTTCTGCCTTTACCTCCCAAGTAGCTGGGATTACAGGCACACACCTCCATGCCTGGCTACAAAAATTCTTTTGTGTGTGGCTTACCCAGGCTTACCAGTGCCTGAGTTCAGACTTACCAGCAAGCAGTGTGGCATTGCATTCTGTTTCCCAAGCCAGGTGCTCAGGTCTTTGAAGGAATGAAGATTCTTTAGAAGAGGTAAAGGCTGTGGTGTTGGCTTGGATTTTGAACCATGACTGTGCCACTTACTGTGTGGCTTTGGGTGAGATGCTTAAACTCCTTGAGCTCCAGTTCCCTTGTTAGGAAGCCAGGGCTTACATGAGAATAACTGCAAAGGGTCTAGCATCATGCTTGGTACATAACAAGCTATTAATGAAGCCCACTGAAGAGGTACAACAGCATGGTTGATCAATGGCTGGTGACCTTCTGTTACGATGTCACTTGGGAAGATCTCTCTCTCCCACCAAAACCACAACCAAACAACACAAAAATAAGAAAAAAGAAAGTACAAAGAAAAAGAGAACAGTGAAGAGGCACGTCTGAGAAAGACTGCCTAGTCAAATGTCAGCAGTGTTAATCTGGGTGACCATCAGCAAGTGACTGCTGAAGGCTCTGTCTTCTCATTGACAAACCAAGAGGCGAGCAGGGCATTGGAATCTAAGCTCCCCTCCAGCTCTGACATTCCAAGAGCATTAAAGAAAAAGGATGAATCACCCCCTTCAAAATACCAATATGGTTTGGGCCCTCCCCCTGCTCCCCCATCCAGCACAACTAAGAGCTCTTAATACACAGCCAGCTTCCTCCCGCAGCTGCCACCAAACTTCAACCCCCTTTCCCAGGAGTCTCAAAAGCAAGACTGATAATGGACCTCTGGCTTCTCCATCTCAACAGGGAACCAGATCCTGTTCCCAGACTCTGGGGGCCAGAGGGCCTTCCATGGTGAGGGCTGGCTTCCCATGGACATTTGACCTCAGTTTACTCGTGTGTGGAGTGTGGCTGGGTGGTGAAAGGGTGGAAGGAAAGCATAAAGGGAAGAACTGCAAAAAGAAAGTTGATGATTGCGTTCTCACAATCCTGATGGGAGGGATGGGCAGTTGGGATCCTGGCCATTCATTCTTTTCTGGGGTTTGCAAAGCTTGATGTGCTTGTATCTGGACTAGTTATAAGTGTCTATCCTGGGGAGTCAGTGTCTCCCTGCAGCTTCATAAATTGATAGACACAGGCTGTCAAAGCCACAGAAATCTTCTAGATCAATTTTCCTCCTTGTAGGAGGTAGACACTAGGTGACCGAAAAAGACAACCTTTTTGCCTCTTTGCCTGGAACTCTCTCCTCCTTTCTGCGTTGATGCTATTATTAGTATAATAGTATTATCAACATTAATTAATCATAATGGAGACATAACCGGCTGGGCGTCAGGCATATGACCCCAGACCAGCACCTTCTTTATTTTCTTCTGGGACCACCTGGGACCTGCTGCGTCCTCTCCCGCTCTGGGAGCGGCTTTACTCCTGCCCTTTGGGTCTGTCAGTCCGGTGGTCTGTGGCCCGTCACGTCTGCAGCCCGGGTCCTCCCAGCTCACTCTGGCTCCTGCTCTGAAAGCCGAGAAGCTCGCCGGCTGCGAGCGGGTTTTCCAAGTGGGCAGGAGTGGGGAGGAGGGGCGCGGGCGGGCGGGCCCGCGGAGGGAGGAGGGGTCGTCGTGGAGGGGAAGACCTCGCATTGTAATCCAATGACATTGCCAACGTGGGGGTGGGGGCGCTGGCCTCGGCGCGCTCTCGGAGTTTTGGCTGCCCGCCCAGCTGGGAATAACTCTCTTCGCATAATTCGCGTGTTTACCAGGCATGAAAATTCTTGCTTTCGGCTCCCCCCCCAACCCCAAGCTCAAGCCCGAGCCCCCTCCTCTTCCCTACTCCTTACCTCCTCCGCCCCTTGCAAGTGAAACTCTGTCTAAAAAAATATTGGCCCGGGGCACAGAAAGTTTTGCATAAATTCATAAGTGATGAATGGCTGATTTTAACGTTATTTGGGTATTTGTCAGAACTTAACAAATATACATGGGGGATGGCGGTTCATAAACTTAAACATCTCAATATCCCCTTTCTTCTGGAAATAAATTACGTTTGTTTGCCTGGCTTGGAGTCTTAAGGTAGCCGACATTAGGAATATTTTAAAAGCCATCATCCATCGAGCATGTCTCCCAGGCGCCAGGAAGATTAAATGAAAGAATCATAAGATGGAGGTCTTTAACTTTTAATCCTTTTACAATGAAGCCTCAGATAGTCGCGGGGGCAGGGTGCCCTCTCTGGGGGGAATAATGCCGTTATTCCTCGGCTCTCAGTTAATGAATACCCTAACGTCTGTCCCACGGCTGACGGAGGCAGCGCCGGGGAGGGGGCTCCGGCTCCCTGGCCAGGCTATTGAAATGAGGAGCCACCGAGGCTGCGTCGGGAGGGAAGAAAGCGCCCGGCTGGAGGGACAGGGCGGGCGGGGCCGGGGGCATTGAGACTGCGCTGGGGACCGAGCGCAGGTTTGAAGTAATTAGCATAGATACGCTCCGAACTTGGTGTGTGTTGTGTGTATGCGGGGCGGGGGGGGGGAGGGGGGAGGGGGTGGCCAGGACGCAGGGAAGGAGGCGCGCGAGGAGGTGGCAAGGGAGTGGGAGGAAGCAAAGAAACGCGAGTATGGAGTCCAAGATAAATAAAGGGAGCGGGGAGCAGTGTCAGGAAGCGGCCCACGTGGAGCTGTGCGGATGGGCGCCACCGGGGATTCAGGCGGAGGGACTGACTCGAGAGTCTAGCGCTGGTCCCAAGAAGTTGACTTTTTAAGGGGTGGGGTGCTGTGATGTTTGCACATCTTTTAAAGGGGTATCATATCCTCTGTCCCTATCTAATTCTAAAGCTCAAAGATCCGGGTTGTGGATTTCATCCCCCCCCCGCCCCCGCGGCCAGTAGAGTGTTCAGAGCGGAGGGCGTATCCCCTTCCCGATAGCAGATCTCAGAGGTGATGATTTTTACCCAAATTCACACCCTCCGTAACTCTGGACCTGTCTTCCTTAGGTCCTGGAGGAGGCGGAGGTGAGTGTCAAACGCTCAGGTAGCCCTTGCAACTTCTGTCCAGGGCTTGGGATTTCGGGGGTCGGACCTGCTGGCTAGATCCCGGAGGCTGCGCATTGTTGATTCCAGGGATCGCCACCGCAGCTTCCGGGCATGCAAAGGGTTAACAGGGGCTGGATATTGAGATGGGGGGTGCAAGGCGGGAGGGGTGGCGGGATCTGGGTGGGCGCGCTCTGATCTCCCTCCACCCCCCATTCCTCGGGGGTCAAGTTTCAGCGGCACTCCGCCCCCAGGGTAGGTGTGAAAGACACGTGTCCCCATTGTGAAGGGCCTGTCAGGCAGGACAAAGCGGCCGCCCACCCTCCCCCCGCCCCTCAGCCCAGCCTGGGGTCAGCTCCAGGGGGCCGGCTGGGTGTTGAGGTCACTACAGGCCGGAGCTTTGGTGACACAGGGGGGAAAAAGCTGGGAGACTGGGCGGAGACCACGTGATGCTTAAAAGAGGGGTTTGAGAATAACGCCCCCCATTGAAAAACTCAGCAGTCACTTCCATCACCCTACAGAAGGGGAGTCCGCGGGGATGAACCCGGTCTCGCAATAGGCAATAGTAGTAGGCACGGCGGCATCCCCTACCCAACCCCTCCCGCGCGCACCCCCCCTCCCAATCAATCACCAACACAGAGAATCGCAGTGTCGAGCGCACTCGGTTTTAGTGGTTTTCTTTAATCCTGCTCTGCACTTCTTTCTCATTTACTACACGGGATATTATAAAGAATAAATAGCAGATACTCTTAATTTACAATGATTAGTCATTCCATTTGTTCTCTATATTTACAATAACTGTAAAATAACATTGAACTCTATAGCTTCTTCGAGGTCCAAGGAAAATCAAAACACTTTCCGAAGAATGGAAAATAGCTTTTAAAAAGTCCTTCTACAAAAGTTCCCCCCACTCTTTGTACTTTAAGAAAAAATAACTTTCCCCCCCTGCTTCGCCATGCGAAGGGCACTGGAATATAAATAGCAGATTAACATTACTAGCAACAACCAGAATAAGTCTCTCTTTCTCTGTTCTTTTTTTTCTCCTTTTGCTTATTTTTTTTTAAAAATACAGTAGAAGCCGGTAACTTTTAACGTATAATACTGACCTTTTAATAAGTAAATTAAAACTGGGACCGTATATACACACACATATACATTCCTACACAGTTAAACAGTGCATTACATGAACCAGAAAGCTAGGTCTCTGTAGCCAAAAAAAAAAAAAAAAAAAAAAAAGTTCATTGAAAACTGGTTGGAGGCGGTGCGGGGGGCGTCGGTGGGGATCGATTAAGTGTCCGGGCGCGGGTAGGGGGCCCCCGAGTTCTAGCACGAGCACTTGCACTCGGAAATGATGGGGTACTGGATGGGAATCCAGCCGCAGCGCTGGCCCCCGCGCCGCTGACAGCGCCACCGCAGCACGGTGAGGTGCACAGACTTGGACGGCTTGCACACCATGCCCTCGGGCACAGAGCACGAGCGCTTACTGAAGCAGCTGCCCACCTTCACGTAGCGCGGCCAAAAGCGGCTGCCCAGGTCGTTCCACGCGTACAGCACTGGGCAGAAGGTCTGCGACCACAGCCACATCTGTAACTTCCTCCGCAGCTTCTTGCTCAGGCGTTGCTTCTTGCCCTGGGCCAAGCCCTCGGAGAACTCCAGCCCTTTGATCTCGCTAGGCATGGCCCCCGACGGCCGCTGCCGCAGCAGCTGGTCCAGCTCCGCCAGGTCCTCGGCGCCCCCAGCCGCTCCCCCGCCCCCACCGGGCCGGTCCTCGGGGGGCGAGGTGGCCATGAAGCCTGGATCGTAGTGGCCCCCGAGCAGGGAGCGCAGCAGCGTCTCGTTCAGATCCTTCTCCTTGGGGTCAAAGATAGGGTCCGGGTGTTCGATGAGGTCTACAAGGGGCAGGTTGTCGCTGGGAGCCGGGCGGATGTGGAGATAGTGCTGGCCGCCGGCCGGTGCCGCCCGCAGCCCCAGGACCACCACCAGGGCGTAGAGGGTGACCCCCAGGCTGGGGCAGCGCTCCATGCCTCCGGCGCGCGCCCGGGGCTGCTGCTTCGTCCCGCGTCCCCGGAGGAGAGCACGCCGAGCCGCGGCGCCGCCGCGCTCCCCCGTCTCTCCGGAGGCGGCTCACCCGAGGCTGGGCAGGCGCAGGGCCGGCAGCATGAGCCGCGAGGAGAGGAGAGCCTTTCGCGCAGCGCCGGCTCCCACCGGGGCGGAAAAGAGAGCCACGAGTTGGCCGCAACTCCTCTCTCGGGTCTATTGGGGAAGGCGACCGCGGCGGGGCATCCGAAATGACTCCAGGGCGAGCGCGGGGCGCGGGGGGCGCCGGTTCCTCGCTGCCTTCCCGGGCCGGCGGCGGCGCAGGGCGCGTGGACAAACCGCTCTCCCCTCCTCCTCGTCGCGTTGCTCGTCGTCCCGCCGCTCTCTGCAGCGCCGCTGGCCGATCGGGTCCTGGGCACGTCCCTCCGCCTGCTCCGGGCTCCGCGGCCGGCTCTGCCCGGCGGACTCCAGCGGCGGCGGCGTCCGCGCACGTTGGCACCGGTTTGTCTGTCTCGCAGGGTCCAAGCCTTTAAATTTCCTGCACTTTCAGCTCCATCACCATGGAAACCACTGACTCTCTCGGCGTTGCCCCCTCCCCCCCTTCTTCCCCCCAAACAACAACCCCACCCCCCACTTCTCCACCCCCGAGGAGCCGGAGCTGCACAGGCTCGGGGGGAAGCCGCCGGCACTCGCCGCGGAGGCGGCGGCGGCGGCTTCGGCAGCGCCCAGGGCTGTGCCCCGCCGGACCCAGATGCCCAGGGAAGCCGACAGTCCGGCTGCCCGCCGGAGCTCCCAGGCGGCGGCGGCGGCGGCGGCGGCGGCGGCGGCGGCGGCGGTGGCGGCGGCGGCGGTGGCGCTTGGCAGGTCTCCGCGCAATTTTCTCTCTCCCCCACCACCCACCCCCCTTCTCCTCCTCCTGCAAAATGCACCGCCCCCCTCCTTTCTCCTGGAGCAATGCAACTGGGGCTCTAGGCGCCCCGCCAGGGCCAGTCCCGGGGAAAGCTCTCGGCGGCACTGGAGCCAGGCTGGAGGGTGCAGGGCTGGGGTTTGGGGGTGCTCGAGGTGGGACGGGGGGATTCTCATTAGCTGGGGTGCTTTGCACGGGGAGGGGAGTAGCGGGGAGGTGCCGGAAGGTTCGTTTCTCAGTGCAGTTCCGAGCAAGTAATTTCTCCATGTGCATGGAGCATTTTACCGGGTGCGTCTCTCCTTCCTCTCTCCCGGGCTAGGGCTAAGTCCCCTCCCCCCAACATACATATACACACACACTCACACACACACACACACACATACACACACACACACACGTGTCCTCCAACCCCTACTATGCGTTGAGCCCAGGAGCCGCAGCATTGCGCAGCATGATGTAATTCCTAGGAAGCACTCCTGCCCATCTGCACCCCGGGCCCACGATGGGGGTCCGCTCCTCACCCTCCTCCTCCTCTTCCTCCTTGGCGCGGTCCTGCACCCTGAGTGGCCGAGCCGCAGGGGCGCGTCCGGCTTGCCTGCGGCTCCCCTAGCCCGCCTGGCTCTACGCGGCTGCAGCTCTGCTCCCTAGGGGCGGCGCGCCCTCTGCCGGCCCTCTGTGAGCCCTGCACCTGGCTCCGGCCGGGGGCTGCCCAGTGAGGTGGGTTTGTCTGTTGCCCACTCTGCCCAGTTTATTTTCTACTTCTGGGTCCGTGCCATTTTGTGTGGGTGTAGGGTGTAAGGACGGGTACATTCTGGTTCTGGACGTCTTCTCAAAGCGCCCCAGAACCTTAGTGTAAACAGACTTCTTGAGATTCTTTTCCATGCCACCCAAATTTCACAAGAATAGGTGCTACCCTCTGTGTCTGGGGTGGATTGGCCTCAGTGGGCAAATAGTGGGAGCCAGAAACTTTAAAAGATGAACTTGCAGAAAGGGATCTGTGTCTTGGCTGAGGTCCACCCTGACATAACTATGTTGACCTTGAACAGGTCATTTTCGTGACACCATAAAACTTAGTTTCTGAATGAGCGAGGCAGCTCCATTTCTTTTCCAGCCCTACCTTACTGCGTTTCTCAGCACGACTGCACGATGTGTTCTCTTTCAGAAGCAGTGTCCCTTTGGTGGGAGATGGGTACTGAGATGCCACTTCCCATTAAGTTTCCCCTGGATGAAGAGCTGAATCTAAATTTCGAAACCCAACGCAATTTCCTTTGTGGTGGATGGGATTGGAGTCTGGAACAGAGCTGGAGAAAAGAGACTTGGAGAGGATGAACTCAGGCATTCACCAGGATTCCACGAAGTGGCAGTCAGTAGGTTCCAGTGTGACAGTCTCAATCGCTTTTCTTTCCCCAAAGATCTGGTTTTCCCTTTCAAACCCTCTTGCCCCCAATCTGAGGAAAGAAAGCACTTTATTGTAGAACACCATCTTTCTGCAAAGCCTCGGCAGATGAGAGGGATGACTAGTTGATCAGTTGAAACATTTTCCTCAACTTAAAAGTTTAGACAAGTAGAATTAGACTATCAAGGTGCTGTCTACAAGAAGATCTATCTTGCTTTGATGAACCATGGATACAACCATTAGTTGTTTGAATTGGGCTGATGCTTAAGTAATAAGTGATTGGCACTTGACACACAGTAAGCTCTTAGGAGCTTGGCACTAATTTGTTGTCTTGTGACGATTAAGTGTTCCAGAGTAATTTTGTCACTGCCATGAATTAATTAAGAAAATTATTTCTTCAGTAAAGAGTTCGAAGGCTAAATTCTAGCCTGGCCTTTCTGAGATGGTTTGTTCTGATTAGTGACATCTTATTATGCTGTTCTCTGATCAGTCGCTTCCTCCTGTCCTTCAAATCACCTATTTTTTGCTTGAGAACCAACCCAAACCCTTCAGTTCTTTATTTAGGATGGGTAGATTTGGTTGAACAGCAAAGAAGGGAATGAAAACAAATCACATTTGAGAATAGATTGGGGGACCTATTTATGGAGGGTCCATGGAGAGATAAGGAGACACAAAAGAGAAAGAGTCATGGTTTCCCCACCCCAAGACTTTTCCAGTCCAGTGCATAGCACAAGCATAGAAAGAAAATATTTAAAAAATTTTATAAATTCCCATGAAACCATAGACTAGTGTTGCATATCCCCCCTTTAAACTCATGCCCTCTTTTGATAAATACAGTTTCCAGTCCTCATTGAATGTTGTCTGAAACATTCAATGAGGTATGGGGTTTGAACTCAGAGCCTTGAGCTTGCTAGGCAAGCACACTACCACTTGAGCCACTCCTCTAGCATTTTTGCTTTAGGTTATGTTTCAGACAGGGTCTTGTGCTTTCCTGAGCTGGCTTTGGACTTCTGTCCTCCTACCTATGCCTCATCTGCAGCTGGAAGCACAGGTGTTTTTTTTTTTTTTAAATAAATTTTTATCAGGATATATTCATGACACAGGGGGGGTTTCATAGTGACAGTTCTGATTAGATTTATATTGTACATTAGTTACATTGCCCCCATCGTCTCTCCCCCTCAGTCCCCTCCCCACCCCACTTAAAGCAATTGTAAGAGGTTTTCTAGTTCTGTTTCATATAGGTAAATGAAGTCCGTCTACCATAGACTGTCACCTTAATCTCCTTAGTTTACCCTCCTCACTCCCACAAGTACCATGCCCCACACACACTGTGCCTGTTTTACAGTCCTGGTTTTCATAATTAATATTTGAGTTGATGTTCAAAGGGGTGTCTCAATGTGTGCCCTCTATCGGGTGTGCTTTACTTTGGTCTATTCAAAGGGATTACAGATGTATACCACCACCACATCCAGCTTATTTGTTGAGATGGAGTCTTGCTAACTTTTTGCCTGGGCTGGCTTCAAACTGCAAATCCCCTCCCCTGCAACCTCTGCCTCCTGAGAAGCTGGAATTACAGGCACAAGCTATCATGTCTGGCTCTTGTCTGAAATTTTATAATACATTATGATGACCCAAAATAATTTAACACAATTATGACATACACTATTATTTTTCAAATCACACCTACTCCTTTCACTGTGGAGTTCTAGAAATCCACATCTGCGGTTCCTGAAGTCCCCCATTCTGCACCACATGGAGGTAGCCCATGCATTTAGGTACTGAGCAAATCTGGGAACATTTGTATCAGAAACTAAACATGACCAGTACCTTAGAGCTGAGCTTGGTGAAGAAAGAGGTTTATTTATCTGAGTAGTAAGAGAAAGATATGTGAAACACAGGATGAGTGTCTGCATGAAGAAGGGACCACAGTGATGAAAGACAGCCAAAAGATCTGGGGTCATGTTGAGTGGAGAAAGAAATGCCATGCCCAGGGAAGCTCAACACAAAGACAGCTTTTATATGAGATGGATTGAAGTTGGACTCCTGGCTCTGCCACCTGCCAGCCATGTTACCTTCTTGACACAAGCGCCATCAGCATGCTTCCGTGTTCTTATCTGTTAGATGAGGATGCCAATTACTTGTCACAATTGTTCCCTGTGAAGGAGGTAAATAATGTGTACCTGAGCACTGTACTTGGGGCAGAATTTATACTGAAAAATCATCTTTCAACAAATGTTAGCTGTTTGGAGAACCCTGCTGCCCTCAACTGGCCAAGCATGTTGGGTTGGACCAAAAGAGGGCTGATGGGGTGGAAGTGCTGCTGGAGTCAATACCAACACCTGAGGGTCTCCTGTCTGCCCACTCAGCACATGTGACTGAGCTTTCTTGATGGCTGCCAACCTGCATGAGTTAGGACCCTGGAATTTCTTGGGAGATTCAACAGCCAACCTCTTTTCATGGTTCTGAGGCTCTGTTGAAGATGGAGTCTGGCAAACAGTACACAGAAGGCTGCAGGTCTTCAAAAGGAAGTTGGGTCTGTGTATGTGGGGGAAACTGGATCAAAGAGGGATGGCTATCAGCTCAGGTTTTTGATCAGGCTGTCACTGGGTTTGGACTTTAGTGAGCCCTGGCTGGGAACTTGGGTCTTGGGAAACCCCTATTGGAAGTCCAATGAACAACCAGAGTATCAGCCTGCTCGTTCTCCCCATTATAAGTGTCTGTCTGTGCCCCAGAGCAGCAAGGAACTGAAAGCACTCTTTCAAACAATTGTTTGGGCAATACAGATTAAGGTAAGAGGAGCTCAGGGTACTTTCATACATCTTTTAATTTCCAGGCTGGCCTTGAACTTGTGATCCTCCCACTTGGGAGGATCTTTCCCTGATGCTGGGATTACAAGCTTTTGTCAGCATGTTCAGCCTGCATTTTTCTTATTTCCATTTGGTCCTGAAAAAGACAGCTGTGGGCAGTGAGCAAAGGACATGGGGTTTGATGTCACAAAACTTGAAACCTACTAGCTGTGTGACCTCAAGTGAGTCACTTTAGCCCTTTGGGGCTCCCTGACACAGGAGGTCAGGGGACCATGATACACCTTAGAGGAGAGAGCATGAGAGCTGCCATATTTTAAGTTGGTAACATTTTAGGCATATGAAGAGTGTCTCTCAGGTCCCATAAGTGTAGAAGCCAATGGGCTTTTCTTAGTG